TTTAACGTCTAAAAAATTAATGCCGTTTTCATCGCCAAAGTCAACTGTGAATCTTAGTCTTTCATGATATGAATTAAACAATTCCAGAACATTCTCCACTTTGTCTTTATGCACCGCTAATACAATGTCATCAATATAACGGAAATGAAAAGATGAGATAATATTATTAGTAGTAATAATTTCTTCTTCTAAGTCCTGTAGAACAACATTCGCTAATATAGGGGATAATGTAGTTTATCTTTTCTAAAGAAAAATCTCTCTCTCACACTTAATAAATAATTCTAGACAATCTAAACTTTTGACACATATATATAAATAGTAGTAACATAAATGACAAATAATAACACACAATGTCACGACAAATTTCCATCTGTGTAAAGGATGTACTTGAGATTCATCATTTTTTTGCTGTAAAACAGGTAACGATTTTATTTTCATACATTTCAACTAGAAGATATTAATGGATAGGTTAATTTTTTAAATTAGAATCTGGACATTCTTGTTCTACATAATTCGCAATATGACAATTGGCGCTGCAACATTGTTGTACCTTCACATGATGAAAGAATACGTTTATACATAGTTATATTACACGACGGTTGAATTTAATGTCAGATATATGTAATTCTGCGTTTTAAGAATATTGTGAATTTACTGAAGATGGTCAGATTGTGACCGAAACGTCTAATGTTTTATTAATGTAATGATAATTAAATATCACAAATAATATCTTGTGCGGTGATTTTTTATGCTCTTCTTTTCATAAATTTTGATTTATAAATCACGTTTTTATTACGTATTTTAATAATAATAAAAAAAAGTTATTTTTTTTTAAGAGGGAAATAATATTTTCATTTTGAAAGTAAATAATAATATTTTTTTTTGTGTGCATATAACGCCCTTTCAACATCCATTAGAGTTCTATAATTGATCATTTAATGTCATTTAGACATCTAGACTAGCTTTATGAGACATCTACATCTAATTCCGTATAACGTCTAATAGACATTTTTTAATGGAATAGAAGTCTTATTGACGTATATAATATGGAACTCTGGATTTCTAATGGATATCCAGTGGAAGTTTCACGTCTAATAAAAGTTTCGAATCTTCATAATGAACGTCTAATAGATGTTTCTGTTCTGTGTTAGTTGTAATGCCTCACTCAACAATATAACTGTAAAATAACACAATTAACATCTACGTACACGTCATATGTAACTTACAAGGGATAGAAATATCAGATGGAATACCACGTATCGGGAATTTTTGATACTTTTTACAGGTTGTTCTTAAGCACAAATAAAAAACGATATATGTCCGGCCGTTTCAGCTATTGGCTAATAGTTTCGAAGAAATAGATTTTTAAAATAATTATTGTATTAATTTGAAAAAATGTATAGGAAAATATCAATATTTTTATAAATTTTATTTTATATATTTTATTTCACCGAATGTGAAGGATAAAATTACCTGAGTGAATAATTCTGAATCTCGGATGATTTTGAACGCGGCAAGTAGACCGCGCGCCGCGTTGCTCACTTCAGTAAGCATTCGACTCACTTGTGCACGCAGCGAAGGATTCTCCGAACTGATAAAGTAATTTTAATAAAATTTACCAGCATGGAAAATGATAGAAATTCATGATAAAATCGCATGATGGAAAATGTGAGTGTTATTGATGCTGGGCAAGACAAAACGACATCTTTGCTCTCAAAACAAAATATAACTGATTGACTGAAAATTTGTGGTTAAATTTTATACAAACTACAACTAGCTGAAAAAGTGGAAATTTCCAAATTTTCTGAAAGAGTAGAGATTATTGGAAAGAAAATTGTAGAATTTGTGATAGAAATGATTCGTAATTTATATATTGGGAATACAAATTAGTCCGTTTTTTTGTGTTCAAAAATGCATTTATTTCAAAACAAAATGAATGAACAGATTAATTAAAATATTGGCTACTACTTTTTCCCATCTCTCAGGCAATTTTCGAATTCTCAAAAAAATTACTCGTCATTGGAGGCGATCCAATTTTGGAGCCAATTTTCGATTTCTGCGAAAGAAGTCAACCGGTGACGTGCTGCATCCTTCGGAACAACCAGTAAGAAGGAGCAATGTCCAGAGAATACGGCGGATGCAGTAAAACATCCCATTTGAGCGTTTCCAAATATTTTTTTACGACTTTTGCGACATGAGGCCGAGCGTTGTCATGAAGAAAAATAACTTTATCATGTCTTTGCTCGTATTCCGGCCGTTTTTCTCGCAATGCACGGCTCAAACGAATCAATTGTAGCC